TCGTTTACCATCAAACCTTTTATATTTAGATGCTGCTTGTAAGTGTCGGCTTGCATGGTGATGTAGATATACAGTAGGCTTGCGGGTGCACCATGTGAGAGAGAGAGAGAGAGAGGATTGAGGAGTCCTGAAAAGGACTCTGACTCAGTAATCTTTCATGGGGGTGTGTAGTCCTGAAAAGGACTGTTTGTCATCTTTTTTAGCTTAAAGTTCTAAGGAGAACTATAGCGCTTGGAGAGGATGAGTGGCTCGACATTTCAAACAGGTTGACTATCCGTCAAATGTTTACTTTGTTTCACTGTAAATCTCTCTCAAGGTTTTGTTGGTAGTAGTGGGCTGCTGAACTGCTTGAAGGAACGGATCTGTGACGATAAAGTAGGAGTCCGCAAGGCTGCTTTGCAGGTCAGTTTTCTTGAAAATTATTCTACCACCTATATCATTTACAATATGGCCCTTGAATTTGTATTGTGATAACTTTGACCATTATTATCATTGCCATTAATTAGCTAATGGAATACAGACTCCATTTAATATTGGAAATACATGTACACAAGACATTATGTACATAAGATATTATGTACGCAAGATATTATGTACACAATATATTATGTACACAAGATATTATGTAGCAGGGAGAGGCGATGTTGCTCTATTTTCTTCTCCTTTCTCTCTCTCTCTCTCTATTGTATCTTCTTTTTCTCTAGATCTGTTTTACCTTATCTATGTGTCTCTACGTCTTAATGATCATGGTCTCTATCCCTTTCTATCTCTTACTGTTTCTCTGTCTCTGCGTCAAACTCACTATGAGCCCCATTTCATGAAACTTCTAATCGATAGATTCAATAGATTCAATAACAAATTCTAAAATTCTATGAGAAATTTGCTCTCAGCCAATCAAATGCCTTGACAACAGTAGCTTATAACAGTTATCGTAACTTGTAATTGATAATAAGTATTATGAAACAGGGTGTTTCCCCTTTCCTGACTTGTTATCTTCCATTCCCTCATTTACTCTCGCTCACCTCATCTCTGTTAACTATTTCCTATGATGCAGGCTCTTGAGAACATCTTCAAGCTTCAGTGCATGAACTTTGACCTCCAGCTGCTGGAGATACTCCGGGAGCGTTGCCGTGACACTGCCCTCTCTGTCCGCAAGCAGGCGCTAGACTCCCTCACCAGCCTCCTCAAGGAAAGCACCACTGACGAAAGGGTCCAAAGGTACAACTCCTAAATATCTCCTTACTTTAAAGCCCAACTACACTACTTATAGCTACTTGCGCCCTCTATATAGATAACGATGCCTAATCAGTGACCATTGGTCCCCCATGATCCCCTTTTTTTTACGTTAATTGCAGGCCTGATAAAAACCCGATATAAATTGGTTTCTTGATTTTTTTTTTAAATTTAAAAAAATTTCCCAATTTTTTTTTCTTTTTCCCTATTTTATCCTGATTTTCCCGATTCCCTTCTTATTTTCTCTATTCTTCCCTATTTTGCCCTTAATTTTTCAAAATTTTCCCAATTTTCTTACTCGAAAGGGGGGAATGTTGTTAGATGCCATTTTTCCCACGAATCCTCTTGGGGTGGTGGAGGGGAAAACAAAAAACCTATTTTTTTTTTAGTGCTCACTATCACCCCTGTAAATGAAAGCTGATTTGATGAGATAACCACCTGTCAGTGACCTTCCAGGAGGTCTTATCAAACTAGTACAGGTGGGCTTTAACACTCTATAGGATTGTCTTTAGCTACCTGTCTGATTCTTAACTGCTTGTATGAAAGAGGCATAGCAGTGGGCTCTCATGGGGAAATTTGTCACCTTTAAGGTGATTACCTGATAACAAGTGTTGTCAATCAACAGGATTAGCCTCCAGTTTCATGACCAACAGGCCTTATGTAATGCTCTGCATTTTCCACCCATTGCCCAATATGGTTAAGTCATTATCTACATTTCCCTCATCCACAGACTCTCTGAGAGACTAGGGGGTATTTCTTGATAGGTCCATGTGTTTGGTGTACATCCATTACTGGTATTTCCACCAAGTCTGGTGTCAGCCAATTATGAAACATGAAAACTGATGACCATCTCCCTCTATATTTGACGGAAAAAAATTCTCTTGTTTCTCTAAGATCAAGGCCCTGTAATTTACAATCAACTTACAGTCATTCCTGACGATGCATCGTCGACCTATTCAAAACCTCGAGCCCCTCCTACTACCCATATCCTCTCCAACCGGCGCTATAGTTCTCTTTAGATTCATAAGCACAAGAAAAATTACCAACAGTCCATTTCAGGACTCCCCAATCCTCACCCCCCCCCCCCCCTTCTTTCACATGGTGCAACCATAACCCTAAGTACTGTATAATTTACAGTTAATCGTAGAAACCTGTTCTCCAATTATGCTGACCTTAAATCTTCCTCCCTTTTTACAATACCTCCAGTTCCTGCAAAATCTTAATTTCGATACGACCCAACAATGCACAGTCCCATAGCTTCATGACCATTGTCGGATACACAAAAACAAAAAACCGCTTGGTCCCATTTATGCATATCTCTGTTCCTGGCTCATGCCTTAATTTCATGTTATTAATAAGTTAAGATTTTTTGTCTCATATGTATGTAAATATTTGGATTTGAAAATTAAAAAATGCTTGGTCCCAGATATGCATATCCCTGTTGCTTGCTCATGCCTCATTTCATGTCATTGATACTTAATACAGAGTGTGGCTGCAAGGTATTCTGCCTGCAGTATCCGATCGAGAATCGTCGGTCTCCGAGAAATGCCTCCAGCTCCTGCAAGATCTCGTCTTGGACGGTGTGTGCAGGAAAGGAGTTACAGAGACAAAGAAACAGCTGGCGTGGAGTCTACTATGCCGGCTCATGGAACCCGACCTGTGCGACCTCAGGTTTGTAGTCATGTGACCTCATGATGCTCCCATTTTGTTTACTTCCATTAGAAGGTGTCTATGTAATATGGGGTGATCCATCATTTGCTTGCTTTTACATTGTGACCTTGCAGTAAAAGTCACATGTGTTGTGCAATCATGATTGGCTCTTTTGAAGAAAAAAAATCCTCATCAAAGTTTTCACTATAATTTAAAGCAGGAGGGGGGGGGGTATACATGTAAATGCACACTCACAAAAGTAAACAACACTTACGCTGAATGTTAAGACTACAAATATATGATATCTGTGAAACAATTATATAATGTTTTCCAACCTTTTTGTTTTATCATGGTATATTTGCAGCGATTTCATTATCTTTTCCTTATCACAGTTTTTTTTTGAGGTAATCTAAAGTTGGGAAAAATATTAACGCACTCTCACAAAATAAAAATAAAAAACCTGTTGAATCTTCAAACTACAATTAAATGATATCTGCGAAACAAATACAACGTAACCTGCATATAAAGACTACTAGAGGGAAACTTAAAAAGTGGTCTTGATAGACGGATGGTCCTTATACACAGGTTTCTTCAATACAGGTTTCAACGAGAAACCACTTTCAAGGGAACCAAAAACTGTAGTCTTTCTATACAGGTGGTCACTAAAGCAGGTTTGACTGTATCTTATCTTTTCCAACCTCCCTTTGTTTTATCAGGGTGTATTTCCAGCGGGTGTGCCAGCTATGGTCCAGACAAAAGTTACTCACTCCGGCCCTAGTGAAAGGTTTAGCAGAGCATACGCAGGGAGATAACACTGTGGTAAGATGCGGATGATGATAGTAGATTGCTGTCATAACTTCTTATACAATTTTTGTTAATCTTTGAACTTGTCTGCCAATGAAGCATAGCTTATTCTATTGTCTATATTTCTCATTCCCCCTGTCTCTCTCTTGATTTGTGTCTGTCTATGTCTCTTTTTCTCTCTCAGTCTATTTCTGTGTCTCTCTTTCTCCCTTGCTCTCTGTCTCTCTGTTTAAGATGCATAGTTGTGGGCTCTTATTAGGAATTTGACACCATTCAGGTAGTTACCCAATAACAGGTTATGTCATTCATCAGGATTAGCCTTTGGTTGTATGTCCAACAGGCCTTGCGTCACAGTATATAAGCCCAGTCTTAATCGTTTAATGCACATCGTAGTGTACATCTTAATATCCTTGCCATTTGAACCTACATGTATTTCATCGCGTCTTAATTTTGTATGCGCCAGAGATACGCATATATGCGCATCTCAGCCGTTCATATTTACTGTTAGCCGTGGGTTATCACTTTTTCTTTCTATATTATATCTCTGTACTTGGCTGTCTTACCGATATTTCAAGTCCTCTTCATTCTTACCACTCTTTAAAATCACTTTTGAAATGATAAATATTAAACCATATTTCTGTCCCTCTCTTTTCAAGGCTGCCTGGATGTTCCTCGCCCAAGTCTCCCACTTCTGCCCCCACCTGGACAAGACCCTGGTCCTTGCGACCTGGCATGACCTGACCTCTGACCTCACCAACAGGTCAGTGAATTGTACAGGTCAAGGGTCATCAAACTCTGAGATCTTGACCAGTGTTCTATCGGTCATCGGGGGTCTGGCAAGTCATCTGACGGAGGATGAGAGGAAGGCTCTGGTGCAGGAGATTGTCAAGCGTCTTGTGGCCGTGATGGACACGCCTAACATCATGGGAGCGATGGTTGAAACTCTGTATAAGGTGAGCTAATGAATGCCAGAATGGAAGTGATGATGATGATGATGATGGTAGTGGTGGTGATGAGGATGGTAATGAGGATGAGGATAATGGAGATGAGGATGATGGAGATGAGGATGATGGAGATGGGAAGATGATGGAGATGAGGATGATGGATGATGAGGATGGTGATGATGAAGATGAGGATGGTGATGATGATGGTGATGATGAGGATGATGATGATGATGATGATGATGAAGATGAGGATGGTGATGATGGTGATGATGAGGATGATGATGATGATGATGATGATGATGATGATGATGATGATGATGATTGTGACTGTCTGTGAGGCGAAACGCTGAATAATTACAACGACTCAGGTTTTTACGGGAGTGTCAGTTTATTTTAGAGTCATAACCATCGAGGGGAATGCAACTCTGTCTTTGATGAACGAATCTTTTATCTTTACTCCTTCAACTGCTTTATTCCGTTCTTCTTCCCTTCACTCCGTGAAAACTGTACATGATAAAGCATAACAGGAATGCATAATAAGTATGTGTTCATGAATATAAGTTCCACAATATTAAAGCAGATATAGCATTCTACTAAATCAAAGACATTGTCTGAATTATAACTCCTTTTCATGTTTGCTTGTAAATCTTATATAAGTCAGACACTGTCTTGACAAATCTATCTGAACTTTATGTAGAATGTCACAGCTAACACACAATTAAACTTATATCATCTCTATCATGTCTAAACCAGATTTAACACGGTTTCAACACGGTTTCACAGCTAACACACAATTAAACTTATATCATCTCTATCATGTCTAAACCAGATTTAACACGGTTTCAACTAAAAATGTAACCATATTTAACGAGCTTGAATGACTTTATCATAGTCAAGGAATACAATAACAAAGTCATGACCTTGACCTGTCATTCACACAAGTATGCTCACATTCCTCATCCCTTTTCATCATAGAATGTCTTATTCTGCATCATATATTGTACTTGACTATACTTCTTTCAACTTTAAGTAAAACTAAACATCAATTATAGATGTAATGACATATTACATGTGCAATAGATATCTCTAGTCTATCATATGTGTGGGTACACAGTATACACATGTTATACATTTGCCATACAAATTACTGTGCTACTGTGTAAGTTTCATACAATGTAAACATCTTAAAAACTACCTTTTTGACATTCATTTTCATAATGCTCAAATATGTGGTTTAACTAACCTCTGTGCCTCCATAATACTGTAGAAACAGCTCTCAGGAACAAAGGATGCTCCAGAAACCCACAGATTTTCCTCACAAAACAGAAATCATGTTGCAAACATGATCATTTCAAATCAGCCAACAACAGGTGGCGCCAAACAAGTTTCTGACCTTCAAACTAGAAAAACTTTAAATAAGAACTGTCAAAATAATCTTTGACCAAGCGCCCTCTGTAGTTCTATTATTGCAATGTCAAGTTAAATCAATAAATATTAAATAAAATGACTTTAACTGGCAAATACAAAATTACAACTTTCACAATGATGATGATGATGATGATGATGATGATGGTGATGATGAGGATGGTGATGATGAGGATGATGAGGATGAGGATGATGAGGATGAGGATGATGAGGATGGTGATGATGATGATGGTGATGATGAGGATGGTGATGATGATGATGATGATGCAGATGAGGATGGTGATGATGGTGGTGATGATGAGGATGATGATGATGATGATGATGATGATGATGATGGTGATGATGAGGATGGTGATGATGAGGATGATGAGGATGAGGATGATGAGGATGAGGATGATGAGGATGGTGATGATGATGATGGTGGTGATGATGAGGATGATCTTGCAACTGTTGTTGAGAACGGAACTACCTCATCTCAGACAAGATCCTAGTCCTACCTCTCTTGTCTCGCTGTTTCAATATTTATTTTGTGCCGTGCCTGTGTTGGCGAGAACGAGACCACCAACCCACTCTTGGACCAAGCCAGGGACAAAATCCTTCAAGTTTTTGAGAACGGAACTGCCTAGTCCTACACGTACCTCTCTTGTCTCGCTGTTTTAATATTTGTTGTGTCCTTGTTGTGTGTAGTTGTGCCGTGCCTGTGTTGGCGAGAACGAGACCACCAACCCGCTCTTGGACCAAGCCTGCGACAAGATCCTGCAAGCCTGCGACTCCTACCTCTCACAGATCCTTCTCACTGAGGATGCGCCCAAGCCGGACGACGCGACAGAGGAGATGCTCATTGCCCGCATCTTCCTGCTGGGCGAGATAGCCCAGCTCTGCCCCTACAGGATGCCACGGAGGGTCTTCACGCTAGTCCAGTCCCTACTCGCAGGACCAGGAGCTATTTCGGAAGGTATGAATATTTGTCTGTAACCTAAAACACATTTTAAAGGTATAGGAGGGTCTTCACACTAGTCCAGTCCCTCCTCGCAGGACCAGGAGCTGTTTCGGAAAACAGAATGGAAAATATTAGGTCAAATCTTTGCAAATTAGGGAAACGAGTTTACTCCTCTTTCTGAATTAAGAGTCACTCTTCATGTATAGGGGTAGCACTTTAACCCATTGCCTACTGGAATTTGGTGGCACCTGTATTAAGCCTATGGCAATGAATCAACAAGGTAATCAACAAGGTAACATTACTTCATACCTTCCTCCAAACTTCAGGCTCTGAGCACCCCAGCTCTCAGGGTCTCACCCAGTTCTCCCAGCAGCCGCTCTCCCAGTTCCGCACCAACGGCTCGCCCGTGTCCATGGCCGTGCGAGCCCACGGGTTCGTGACCCTGGGGAAGCTCTGCCTCCATCACGAGGGCCTCGCCAAGCAGTGCATCGCCGCCCTCGCTCGGGAGCTGGAGATAGCGGAGGACGCGGCCGTCAGGAACAACGTGGCCCTGGTCATGTGTGATCTCTGTATCAGGTAGGTTGGAATATTCTAAGGCCTAAACAAAAAATGTTGTTTTGCCCTTTAGGTGCCAAAACATGACCACGAACATGGCAATACAGCATCTTTTTTCTTTTTTAGGCCTAATTGATCAATTGAATTGGATTGTATTGAATATATTTGCAGCACATCACAATGATGATGGTATAAGAACTATCATGCAATGCAAAGAATAGTAGTGATACCTGAATACACAAAGGAAGAGTGATGTTGATGGAACAGTGATGGCCTTTAAAAACATATTTAGACATAGATCTGCATACTATTCAATGTTCAAGATATACACATGACCAAAATGTATGTCTTATGTGTATTAAGGTGAAGTTGTTTATAGAAAATAGAAGCCAGCACAACTGCTAGTTGAGCTGATGAGCTAATGAGGTGTACCATTACAGTACTATTGATTTTGACCCTAGAACCTTTGACCCTTTGACTAAGCATTGACGTTTGATTCCTATCTAGGTACCCTAACCTGGTCGATCGCTACGTGCCTAACCTAGCCGCCTGCCTGAGAGACAAGGATAAGCTAGTCAGGAAACAGACACTCACTCAGCTCACCCAGCTAGTTCTGGTAAGCAAAGCCTTATATACAAGTATTTGTTTGTCCATTCTCTTTGCTTCAAGGGGAAGTTCACCCTGATATAAAGTTGGTTTTAATAAAATACGAAAATTGAGAGGATCAGGTCAGTAAAAGTTTGAGCAAAATCGATCAAAATAGGAAAGTTATGAATTTTTAAGTTGCAATCAATCAATCACAAATTGGCAACATCTTGCAAGCTCCTCTCCAATTTTCTCTGTACATGAAGTTTCATTTTCTTCCTTATTGATGGCGGAATAGGGTTTTATCTATACAGGGGTTGAATGGGAACATATTTGCAATAGTTGTATTCAGGGTGCATGTGTGATTAAAATTTATCTGGAGGGAAAATAAACAAATTCTTATTTTTATTTTTGTAATTCTTTATTTCTTTGTAAGCAAGTCCAAGATATATGGGCATTTGCTGTCCCTAAATTAGCAAGAATAAAGATAACTAAACAAGAAACATCAGTGCGAGTGACCTTCTGCTGACACTCATTATTTTCTGTTTATCAGGAGGACTATGTCAAGTGGAGAGGACCGCTTTTCTACCGTTTTGTGTCTGTCATTGTGGATGAGGTGGATACTGTAAGAGACTTTGGTAAGATTTATATATATCTGTCATAAACTTCTCATTCCAATTTTTGTTCTGCACTTGTCAATATTACATTCATATTTCTTGATATTGTTATCTGTTATGATATTCCATCTTTTATCTTTGTATATATTGTCATGACAGGATTCCCAACTTGATTCCCAATCCTTTTAGGCAACTCCCCTGTATATTACATGTGTAATGAAGTAAAACTTAGTGACAAATATGCACTTTTTTGTATTTTTTTCCCTCCAGCTGAGTATTGTTTGGTTGAGCTCCTTCTGAAACGCCATCCCGGTATGCTGGTGCAGCAGTTCGTTGAGAGCATTTTCCATTTCAACAATTATCAAAAGCATGCAGGTAATTTTAAGTGCTAACCTGTATTCTATTCATTCTGTGAAACTCCATGCAAGTACTGCAGTCAGGTTTAAAGTTTTACACCAAAGTAGATCTTGGTGTAACTTTCTTTCTTAAACTGAATTTTAGACAAAGCATAAACCCATTTAGTAGAATAAAAGATGGCCTCTGCCCCCCCCCCCTCAAAAATAATATTTTCAATCAATTTTTGACATCTAATAACAAAACTAGAATTTTCAATGGCATGAAAAACTGTAACTAACTATTTGGCTAAGATGCCTGTTTTGTAGTTTTAAGATGATATTATATTTTATATTGCTGCTTTTACTCTGTTAATTTTTCAGAAAAAACAATAAAAACAGAAAGAGAAAAAAAAAAAAAAAAAAAAACTATTTGGCTAAGAAAAATTGGCAACTTGGTAATGAGTCTGTGATGACATTCTCTGTCATTACTCTGTTGTTTTGTTCTCTCATTCTTTTGAGAGAGTCTTTCATTGCAGCAATTATCAAAAGCATGCAGGTGATATTATGCCCCTCCCTTTAATATGCTATGTAAAAAATCAAATTATGATATTAAACTTCTTGATCAATATTCAAAATCCAGACATTTTCAAGGCTCGTGTGCAACAGCATTTTCATGCACATACCCAATCTGACTTGTTTCAATCCACTAGGAGTGTTGAGCCGTCTTATTTAAGATTCAGATTCTTCACTATAAGACTATTTTCTTAAAAGCCACAATTTATTACTGCCAGTTTTCTTCGATCCGTAGTACCTTGCACGTAGTCATGACTGTGTCTTGCTCTTTCTTACAGTCTTCAATCAGTTCACCCAGTCCGACCGAGAGAGGGAGCTCTTTAGTCTTGAGGGGCGTGAGAACTCTGATAAGAGGATGACCATTTTCAAGTTCATGCTCAAACACATGACAGACGAACATCGCTTCAAACTCACCGCCAAGCTCGTACAGGAGGTAAGCATTCTGATCTGATCCGTATTGTACTCTCTCTCTAAGTGCCATATCCATTGACTTTGGCGACATGCGGTTCCAAAGCCCTCTGCTCCTAGCCTTCTTTATTAGCACCACTCCCAGTTCTTTCACTCCTCTCTCTTCTAATTATTTCTGCAGACTGTCCATCCAAAGTATCCTTCTGGGTCTGAGATCACATTTAACAAAGGAATATAACTATGCTACATTTATTATACAAAAGTTTTACATCCTTTTGCAATGCACTCATAATTTACTTGCCAGGAAAGATAGTGAATGAGCTTTTGAACATTCCACAGACGACATGATTCTCAATGTCAAGATTTGGAATTTCAAAAAGTATATTACTTTGGAAAGTTCATTATTCAATTACCATCTTACATCTTTTGATTCATCTGTTTTGGTGATGCTCTCATTCCTGTTATTGCTAGGTTCTTGGAGCATTTGTGGATGGAGCCATTCCGCTTGACAGTGAGTCTAGCAGTGTCCTTCAAGATACACTCCAGATTCTCTGCTGTAAGGTAAGACATGTTCAGGGAGAGACTTGCTGCTAGGTATGATGATGACGATGGTGGTGGGGATGATGGTGCTGGTGATAATGATAATGATGATGATTGTTGTGATGGTGGTGGTGGTGAGTCCAGCAGCGTCCTGCAAGATACACTCCAGATTCTCTGCTGTAAGGTATGACATGTTCAGTGAGGGGGGTGAGGACGAGTGGAGGAGTAGTAGGGAGAGGAGGACAGTGACAGGGTAGGTGTTTGTGATGATGGTGGTGATTATGATATTGATGATGATGATATTAGCGAGGGTGATGACTGAGGGTGACGATGATGATGGTATTAGTGGTGATGGTGATGATGTTGATTATGATCCTGGTGATGATGATGACGATGGTGGTGGGGATGATAGTGATAGTGATAATGACAATGATAATGATGATTTTAATAATGATGATTGTGATGGTGGTGGTGGTGAGTCCAGCGGCGTACTGCAAGATACACTCCAGATTCTCTGCTGTAAGGTGCGATATATTCAGAGAGAGACTTGCTAGTGAA